GTTTTTGAATCTGTTGACTTTTTCTTTACAAGGTGGGACATCTAACTGAGCATGTACAGTGTGAGTGTCATCACTCTGTGTTTCTGTTTGGAGAAAAATTACGTGTTTCAACTGTCCCTTGTTGCTTCTGTCCCCGGTCTCCCCTACTACCACAGAATGTAACCAGTAAACAGGTTTAATATCATGTAAATTCAATGAAAAACTGAACATAGAAGTTGTTGAGTCAGAAACAATGACATCAGTTTACCGTAGTCCTGAGTTATCCACCGCAACAAATCTAAGTTTTTATTTTAATTTAATTTTTTGATGAAAATCTATTATGTGAATAGAGAGAATTTCACCCCACAAAAACATTCAAGGACTTTCAAGGACAAGTGTAATTTTTGGCTGTTTTCACAAACTTTCCAGGGCCTTGAAGTAATGTTTTCAAATTCACAAACTTTCAAGGATTTCAAGGACCCGTGGGAACCCTGTACAGGAAAGTATACTAAAAGTACACTTTTTATAAACTAAAATTAGTCCAAAAGAGTATTACATCAGTATACTTATTGTGTACTACAAGTACATAGTGTGAAATACACTTGATATACTTATACTCAAGTATGCTAAATTAAATAAGCTTTAAGTATACTACTGTTTGCGAAGGGGTTCCACCAGGTCCTGGTCCTGGTTCTCATCCAGAGGACAGACCTGTTCAGTCTGGTCCTGATCTAGACTTGGATCAGGGTTCTGTGATGTTCTGATAAATAACCTGAGTGCTGAGTGAGGATGATGAAGGTGATGATGAAGGTGATGATGAGGAGGAATCTGCTGAATACAAACAGCCTGATTTCAGCTGAGAGGACTTCCTGCTGAGGAAACATCAAATGTCATTTAAGATCCAATCTGTTCTGGTTCCTGCTGCCGAGAGACGACGACAACAAGTCAAACTTCAGTTATCACAGACAGACTCACAACTTTAGATTTATTTTTGTTTTTCTTCTAAACATAAAACTTTATTATTTGTGTTTTTCCAGACATTTAACTATAATTCATTTAAACCTTCAGGATTGTCCATGTGGTCGTGGACGTCCATCGGGGTGGTTCTGGTCTCAGTGGACTGCCAGTCTGAGTCCAGACGAGGACAGTTGGACGATCTGAGTCTGTGAGGACTCATGGATCGGGTCCACAGGTGGTCTCAGTAATGATTCGTCTAAAAGCAGCAGGCTGCAGTAATGTGGACCCAACATGGTCAGAACCGTCCACAGTCTGAGTCCAGAAGAGACGGTTTGTCGAGATTTGGAAAAAGTCATGTAAATTTAAAAAAAAGAAAAGCTGAGTCTTAAAGTACCTGAGACCTTAAATTTAAGTGATATATTTGAGTGCATATTTGAAAAGATAACATTAAGAATGAACTGCAAACAAAAATTCACGACGCTAAAATGAACAGTTGTTGAGATGTTGGCATGAGCTGAAACAGGAAGTGATGTCATAGGGGAATACCTGAAGGAGTTGTTACAGCGGCTAACAGACTGCAGAGAATCAGATGTTTCTGTAGATTATTTTGAGTCATTATCAGATAAATAAAGAAAAGTCAGATTTATAAAGACCAGGAAGTTACGCTTTTTTTTACATCACTTCCTGTTTCACTTTGACTGCAACAAATTTAGCAAAAAATATGCACGTTTTGTGATAAAACTGGGTAAAAATCGTATGAACTAGAGAATTTACATTTCCGGTGAAAATGCTAGTGTGAATGCCTCTTTCTGATAACTTTAGCTGAAGCTAAGAAACAAATTGATGATGTCACTGATGTAACTGATGATTTCACTGATGACATCATCATCAGAATTCTAAAAATTGAAATTGCTAAAAAACTACAAAAATTTAAGATACCAAAAATCATATCTGGAATGTCCTGAAGGAGCTGAACATTTTGATATATGAATGGTTTCAGTAGCATAAAAATTGTGGAAGGAGAAGTGGTCCAAAAAACGTACCCATTCAAAGTCAATGGGGAAAAAACTGCTTAAAAATTGAAATACTGTAGCTAAAAAAGTATAAAATGTTAAGTAACCATAAGTCATAGCCGGAATGTCCTGAAGGAGCCGAACATTTTGATATATGAATGGTTTAAGTAGCGCAAAAATTGTGGAAGGACAAGCGGTCCAAAAAAAAAAACGTACCGAAGAAACTGGAATAATACAGAATAAAGAGAAACATGAAAACAAAACTTTGATGCCAATTTTCTAAAATATTAAGATATTTTCTTTATTTTTTTGTAATTGAAGAAAAAGCACATCACAGGCACTTTAAAACAGTGGTTCTGGTTCTGTTCTGGACATCCCTGCATGGACTCACTGTGCCATGAACTAATGCTGCTTAAAGCTCTATCAGACAAAGAAGAACACCATCCAGAGCCACTGCTGTCTCCTCTGAACCAAAGACCATTTAAACTGGACTGAGACGAGGCCTGGTTCAAACCTGGGTCCAGCGTGTTAGCATTAGCTCGTTTAGATTATCTCTCTCTTATTTCTGGAACTCCAAGAGCTGATTTGATGTCAGCAGCTGCTCTGTGATTGGTTCAGAGGGATGATGTCACACAAATGAGAATAGCTTTACATGAATCGTTTGAAGCGGCTGTTTTATCAACAAAACAATCGCAACAAGCTAACATTAGCTACTGTTAGCTTAGCTATTATCTCTGTCATCATGTTCTGGATGGTCCGGTACAGCTTTCAGAATTTTTCCCAAGAGTTTGGTGCCCGTTATTGTTGTGTCGCAAATAAAGCAAAATAAAACTGAATGTGATGATTGATCCCGCCCACGTCGACGGCTTCATACCCCGGACCTCGTGTTGAACCAGAACCGGGTCGGGCCTTACAATGACAAAAAGGCCTAAAGTGGAGAACTGTTCTGTGGTTGGTTCTGTTTGGACAGATGCCATGAGAGGTAAGAACCAGACTTTTATTGGCTCAGAACCTGCCTCTCTGATGGTGTGTGGGTGCATTAATGACTCTGGCGTCTGAAAAAGAACAGTTAGAGCAGGTTTTAGAACTTCTGCTTCCAGGAAACATCACGTTTTATTCACTTTTTACCTCAAATTAGAACTTTTTTTTACATTTTCTTTATAATTTTCTGACTCTGTTGACATAAATTATTTAAATGAATAAAAATGTGTTTATTTTTATTAAATGTTTTTATCAGGAGAGTCTAATTATTTCTGATGTTTCAGCTGAAGCTCGTTTCATTTCCTCACTCAGACCCGGTTCAGGTTCTGTGAGCTGCAGCAGCTTGTTGTGCAGCCCAGCGGGGGTCAGAGATGAAGAGGAGGAGGTGAATTAGAGTCAAATGGTCCGTGAGCGAAAGGCTCTCCTGTCTGAGAAAAGGTTTGTGGTTTAATCATCTGGATAATTTCTCTTTTCTGTGCTGAAGACTGCTCTTCATCATCTCTGTTAGAAATAACATCATCATCATCATCATCATCACTCTGGGTTCACCTCAGTGACACAAAGACCTCCTCTGATGAGCCCCCCTCCAGAACTACTGCCGGACCATGGTTCTCCTCAGACCAGGTGGACATAAATTATTCCCTGAAACCCTGGAACCTGCAGAAACCCTGGAACCTGTTGAAACCCTGGAACCTGCAGAAACCCTGGAACCTGTAGAAACCCTAGAACCTGCAGAAACCCTGGAACCTGCAGAAACCCTGGAACCTGCAGAAACCCTAGAACCTGTAGAAACCCTGGAACCTGCAGAAACCCTGGAACCTGTAGAAACCCTAGAACCTGTAGAAACCCTGGAACCTGTTGAAACCCTGAAACCTCCAGAAACCCTGGAACCTGCAGAACCCCTGGAACCTGCAGAACCCCTGGAACCTGCAGAACCCCTGGAACCTGCAGAAGCCCTGGAACCTGCAGAAACCCTAGAACCTGTAGAAACCCTAGAACCTGTAGAAACCCTGGAACCTGCAGAAACCCTAGAACCTGCAGAAACCCTGGAACCTGCAGAAACCCTAGAACCTGCAGAAACCCTGGAACCTGCAGAAACCCTAGAACCTGCAGAAACCCTGGAACCTGCAGAAACCCTAGAACCTACAGAAACCCTGGAACATGCAGAAACTCTGGAACCTGCAGAAATCCTGGAACCTGCAGAACCCCTGGAACATGCAGAAACCCTGGAACCTGCAGAAACCCTGGAACCTACAGAACCCCTGGAACCTGCAGAAACTCTGGAACCTGCAGAACCCCTGGAACCTGCAGAACCCCTGGAACCTGCAGAACCCCTGGAACCTGCAGAACCCCTGGAACCTGCAGAAACTCTGGAACCTGCAGAAACCCTAGAACCTGCAGAAACCCTGGAACCTACAGAAACCCTGGAACATGCAGAAACCCTGGAACCTACAGAAACCCTGGAACATGCAGAAACCCTGGAACCTGCAGAACCCCTGGAACATGCAGAAACTCTGGAACCTGCAGAACCCCTGGAACCTGCAGAACCCCTGGAACCTGCAGAACCCCTGGAACCTGCAGAACCTCTGAAACCTGCAGAAACCCAGGAACCTGCAGAACCCCTGGAACCTGCAGAACCCCTGGAACCTGCAGACTACTTGAACATCTGTTCATAAATGACGTCGTCCAGGGTGGTTCATGTAGCTCCGCTGGCCAATCAGCGACTGCTACACACTTCTGCACCCCACACCCAAACTGTACCAGCACTGCAGTACTACCTCCGAGGAGGTTCCACAAACCGGGCTGAAAAGGGGTTGAGCCGGCAGTGGAAAGACCAACAACTGGTGTGGAGTGGAGCTGAAGAGAACCGAACCTGTGGAAAAACACCCAATAAGGACCTTGACGTGAGGCTCTCAGCTGTGGACCAGTCTGGACTCCCTGGAAAGTTTAAGTTCTGGATCTATCCTGGTGTCCCACCTCGTCTCCTCTGGACACTGCATGTCTCTGACCTCCATAGAGGACTTGGGTTGGTCGTTCTTACGGACGGGGCTTGGGCAGGGCCCATCTGCATCCAGTTTTAATGTGTCGGGTACCCCCCGTGCGTCCATCCTCGCTGCCCGCGGCTTTTCCAGGTTGCATCACTTAGGGGTCTTTGGGTTGGTGGTCATAGGTTAATATGAGGGATCAGGGTTAATGGTTAGTTTTAGGTACTGGAGTTAGGGATAGGCAGTATAGGGCTAAAAGAAGTTAAATTTTGGGTCTGGGATGGTCAGTTTTGCGCATTTCCTACTCTTGTAAAAAAATGACGACATGCTCGTCCTTCTCCGCCTCATCTCGTAAAAAAATGGACACGCGGGGGTACCGAACCTGGATGCAGACGGCTACCTGACCAAGCGTCAATATGTTGATGCGTCGGGAGTGAGAATGTGTTAGTCTGCCACGGAGCCTAAGCAGCATGGCACTCTTCAGGTCTAACACCAACCTAAGCTGGACCAGAGAAGTCCTGCTCTGCAGAGATCCTGCTGACACTCAGGTCTCGTCAGCAAGTACAGATTAGATGATTATGAGTACTGTGAACGTTTCATTAAAATTAGTGAATTATGAGATATTTCGCTAACACTGTCACTGTTTGACTCCTCATTCACCAGAATGTTTCCATCTAAAATTGAACAAAAGAGCATCCAGCAGGTTAGAAATAAAGAGAAGCTGTTCTGTTGGTGGAAGACGACCCTGAAGCTGTCCTCATAAAGACACACACACACACACACACACACACACACTCACACACACACACAC